CTGACCAACTTACCTGACGTGCCCTGCCCCTTTGAGTGATGAGCAGCTAGCATGTCAGCTTGGCTGCACCTGGTTTTATTTGAGGGCTAACAAAAACCCTCGCCGGTCCCAAACAGCTGTGCCAGTGCAAAGCTGCTGGCAAACAAACAAAGGTAACAAATACCTGGCTGCATGCATGTATGCATGTAGGCATGTATGCATGTATGCGTGTATGCGTGTATGCATGTATGCATGTATGCATGTATGCATGCATGTCATGTCATGTCATGTCATGTCATGTCATGTCATGTCATGTCATGTCATGTCATGTCATGTCATGTCATGTCATGTCATGTCATGTCATGTCATGTATGTACTCATGTATGAATGTACTATAATGTATGTATAGACAAAAATGTAATGTAAATGTTTACTACATCATACATGTGCATATGGAATATACAAAGGTTGTTGAAGAGTTGTTGTGAATCACATTTTGGTGACAAAATACTCAGGAAATCAGCAATACTTGTGCGTGGGTGGCCAACTTCCATTTCCGTTGGGGTTTTTGGGAGATGAGTACTCGAGGTTTAGACCTACCCGTCATTTGAGGGGTCGGTGGGTCATACCAGATACACGATATGTATCATGTTCTTGAAATATGTCAGTAGAACAAGTGACCCCCCGGCAACACAAAAATAGCATGTTGCGAGTTGCCGGGCCAAACTTCCCACTGAACATTACACACAACAATGCACATGTTCCTGCTCATTCATCAGCTGAGTCATAATCAAAACCCGGTATTGAAATGGTCTACCCAGAACCATGAAAAGAATAGAAAAAGCGGCCGCACCCATTTATCGCTGGGATTATCCCTTACTACCCTCCAATTGCCTGGGTTTTGATGGTGGCTCAGCTGCACATCAGTTGGACGAATTCTTGCTTCTCCCTCTGCTCTTCCCAATCTTGCTTCTCAAACTCGGCACTGCATGTCAGTTATTATGTTTCGTTGCCTCGATTTGCGCCCTTCCAGACATTCCAGCTTCGTTTTTTCGTTTTCACCCAAAACGATCCCTTGCAAGTAACTTCCCGATCGCACCAATTTCAACTCCACTCCACTCAGGCCTGCCGGCAGCGACGACTTGTTTGAGGCAACCATCATGTCAACAGGACGCCCTGCGTGTGGATCATAAGCCGCTCCGCGATACTCCTTGTGCGAGAAGCGCACCGAGACCATACCTTAGCTTGAGCTTTTTCAGGTGGCCAGCCGGTGAACCCATGCACCCAAATCTCACAAGTCCCGCTCGGAGGTGACCACTGCCGTCCTTTATGCTCATCGCGAAAGCGAAAACCCGCTTTCATCCCATGCAATGCTGGTACCTTCAACTGCGTTGCTCATGATCATCAGGCAACCTCTCAATCAATGCATTTCACCACATTTCTTTCTACACGTCCAAAACCTGTAAAGCGTTGGCTCGCGCACTGTTGGCCTTGCAGTCCCTCCCGCTTGCGTCCCAAAGGCGCTGGCCGTGGAACATCATGCTGGGCCCCAAAGCGGGCATCAGCCCCACGCCAGTTTCCCAGGTGAAAGTCGCGGTCAAGTCATGCGCGGCCTCGTCTTTGACGCAGCCCAAGTAGTCACCCAGACAATAAGTAAAGTGCCGGCCTCGCAAAAGCACGCGCAGACTAGAGCTTACTTTTGGCCTTCGTATCTTAGTGAGGGCCGGTAGAGGCCTGAGAGTGCCTTCCCAACGTTTTGCTTAAGATAGAATTGGCCGGAGATTGCTTTCCAATCCTGCCTAGCGTGACGAGTCCGGCCATGAACAGCGGAGTGCCGTCCAAGTGAGACGCGGATAAGCGGTAGAACTCTGTATGGACTTGCGGCACTAGGAGTGCCCCAAACAGCCTCGGCACGCAAGGCTGTCACCAAGACATGTCATGCCAGACTTAAAGGTATACCAAATCCCGTCAAAGTTCAGCCAAGGAGCATGAGCAATGTCGAAAGACATGCCAGGCACAAGCAACAGCAATTCAAAGCGCACATCGTAATGCACATCTCCTCATCCGCGGCTGTACAATGGGCGGCGACTGAGCCAGAAACGCTTCAAGCTTGGCCCCACTTGGTTTGCAAGCAAGCCTGCCCTGACCATGTTTCATCAACTCACACGTTTATGTGAATCCTTTGGCTGCCAAAAAAAACATGAGCCAAGAATGAGATGCTGTTTCGAGCACGCCAAAATCAATGGTCTGCGCAGTCTACTTCCAGAACATCACGCCCCCTCCTCACATCACCCGCGACAACCTTTGACACAAGGCTGCACTCGGAATGTGGCCATGGCTCTGACCGCCGAGCCTCGCCAGGCATGGCTCCTGGTGCTGCAACAGCCACAACAGCCACAACAAGCAGCACAAGCCGCACGCAGCAATGCTTGCTGCATTGCGGCCTCTTCTACGCCAAGGCCAGCAGGAGGTCGATAATAGGTTGTACGCAGCTAGCGGGCTGCCTGTGAGCGCTCAAAAAAGCGGGTCCGACAGTAGTAGTACTAGGTAGGAGTAGCGTAGTAGTCGTAGTCGTAGTAGAAGTAGTAGTGGTACTAGTAGCAGTACTAGTAGTAGTAGCAATGGTAGTAGTAGTCGTGGTAGTAGTAGTAGTAGTAGTAGTAGTAGTACTGTAGTAGTACTGTAGTAGTACTTTCAGTAGTGGGCGCGGTAGGGGCTAGCAGTTCTAGCCATAGTAGTATTTGCAGCAAGAGCAGGAAGCAGCAGCAACAATGATAGATTTTGCTGTTGTTGCTGGCAACTCTGCAACGGCTGTCCTCCACCACAGGACTGCAGTGAGAGCAGCAATCTACCACAACCTCGGTCGCTGCGTATCAGTCTGCCAAAACACTTCTCCCAAAACACTTTTCATAGTATTCTTGGAGCAGCCTATTGGAACGCCCATGAAGCACGAGGCCATGCAGCTGAACAGGCAAACGTACATGCCATACATGTTGTATGTTTGAGTGCCCGCTTGCTGCATGTCCTGCCAAATCCACCTCGCCTTCTGCAGCTCGCGGTTGTTCACCTGCGTTCATATCATCTAAAAGGCTGCCAACATCCAGACTCGTTATATGGCCTAAGTCAGTGTGTTTGTTAGTTGGGGCTGCGGGCGTTTGAAAGAATAACGCAGAATCTTGGACCAAGGACCGAGAACCGAGTGCTGCGCACCTTGGGATGCCCGCTTTGTCGCTTCGCTGCGCTGGAGCAGGGCCATCCCTCCACCTCCTGGCCTCTCACGTCTGCACAGCTCTCTGAAAGCAGAAAACGACAAGACTCGCCGTGTTTTCAGGAAAACACAACCTTTAAAACACAAAAAAACTAAGAAGAACACTGGAAGAACCAATTGGAAGAAGAAAAGGCTGGAATTCTAAAAGTCGGGCCTCGTCAGGAGCATGATGGGCAATTGTTCTACAAGGCTTTGAATTCTAGCTTGGCATGGCGAGGGATGTCAAGGCCGCTGCTGCTCTTGGGATCAAGAGAATTCCAGTTTCTTGAAACCCTGTCATTCTTGGATAGAACAAGCGCAGCATCATCACACAAGTTTGCGATTCCTGGACGTCGTGCTTGAAATACATGTGTTGTAAACGAACGAAAGGAGCCAGAACCTCTGCTTGCGGCCGTGCCTATGCGGCCACGATTCACCTCCCGCCACTGGCTGCCCGCTTGGCGTGCCTCAGCTCAAATTGCTGCCACATCAAGAAGCGCTTGTCGGCTGTAGAAGCAAAACGTGGCACACAAAAGGTTGTCTGGAGCTTGGCGCTCGGCAAGCCGAGCAGACTGCGCTGTTTCGTCTCATGCATTCCCTGAAGCCCAAGTCACGGAGCGCCTCACACTGCACAGCGCCTGCAGTTCGACACTCATGTGTCCAAAACAATACGCTAGTGTGATCGGCGACCCGGCTCCCAAGCGTGAGCCCAATCGGAGGAATGATGTTAGAGGTTTGTGTCACCCCTCTTTTATTCGTTCCACCACATCGTGTCATTTACCATGTCTTGCATTGCTAAGCGTTTGGGGGGATCGCGCAAGCTGGACAGGACATCACTCAGCAAAAACGCGACGAAAAATTGCTTGCCGGGCCTAAGCATGGAACCATGCTACGATTACCTTTATTTTTCTCCGCACCCTCTTGCGTCTGGCCAAGCCGTGAGACAACACAGGCACAGTTGGGGGGTCGCTCCACGGGGACAACGAGGCGGCACCAGTGGGCCTGGAGGAGCTCCGGGTAGGCGCGCTCCTACGAGTGCTGCGCCACGAGCGCGCCCCCCCGGAGGCCGGCCGGCCGAATCCAGGGAGGACACGAAAGTTGTGTCAACGGCAAGCTGGGCGCCGCCCCGCAGCGGGAGACCGCTGGCGACGACTTCCAACCGGCGGTCGTCGAGGCGATCGACAAGCAGGTTGAGGTCAGCCAGGCGGGTGTTGGAAGTGCCCTGGCAGACCCGAGCTGCGGCTCGCTCAAGGGCGCACCCACGGCTCCGCAGAACCCCGGACGTTGAACACGCTGCGCGATGGTCGCCAAGAGGGTCCAAACGGCGATGGCATCGGCATGTGTTCTCAGTGACAGGGAGTGGAAGACGGAGGCGGAGCAAGACCGTCCGGAACAAGTGTGAAGGGGCGGTAAGTTCGGGGATTGTGGGGAGGGCCGCAAGGATCCTGCTGACGAATGGGTCAAGGCCGGCGCACAAACCCTGAAAAACCCGGTCCTCAACGGCAGGAGCGCTTGCCGCTGCCGCCCGTGACAAAATGGCCGTCACGCTCGTCAGGGAGGGCGAGGGGCTGGGGAACCCTCGAGAAGCTCAGGCCAGGATGGCGGGCGCCAGTGTGGGCCATACACGGCGCGGCTGCTGTGGCAACACCTGCTGCAACAACTCGGGGGCTTGCCGTTGGAGCACCGGCAAGCTGTCAGCCCACGAAACCCAATATGCGGCGGGCGCGACCGCCATGGCCGACCGGAGCCCGAGACCACCAAGGCGAAGGGGCGTACGAGCGAGGTCGAGAGTTGAGGGAGACAGGGGCCTGGCTTGGAGAAGCGCCGACAAGCAAAATCGACCTTGTGGTCGGGCGGCAACAGACGAAGCACATGGTTGGACCGGGGCGAGCAGCCAAACAACGCCTTGAAGCCTGAACATCTTCCAAGCCCAGAAGCCGCGTCAGCAGGACACCGTGATTGTCCGCCAAGGCCCGGAGCTGTTCCGCAACGAAAGGAGCCGACCCAACAGGCACGCCGAGCACAAGAAGGCCTTGTTGGGAAGGGGCCAAGGACCGCGAAACGACGAGCAGGGCGCCCGCCGACACGCCCTCACAAGCGGAGGGGGGGGCCGCGACAGGCACCATCACCCGCAGAGGGGAGGCTGCTGGGGGCGCTGGGCTCTGCCAGCCAGAGGACATCCCCGAACAACGGCCATTTGTTTTCTCCCGCGCCTTTTTCCGTCTGCAGGCCACTTATATACCGGCGGCCCCCGGATGTGCTTAGGGGGCATTAAGGGGGCAGCCATTTGTATACCGGCGGCTCCCGGCTGTGCGGCTCACCGGCCGGGCGAGCGGGATGCGCCCGCCAGTGGCACGTGGGCAAGATCAGCCAGCAAGGTGCCGAGGGGAGGCAGGGTGCCACCCCCGGCATTGCAAAGCTCCGGCCCGGCAGCCTGCCTGAAAAGGGACGAAGCAAAGGCTGTCATGGCTGCATGGGTCAGCTGGGCCGACCACCTGGCAACAAGAGCGCCGACAACACTGGGGCGCAGCCGAGCTGGCGCTTCAAGTGCCCGGGCGCTGGCCAAGGACCGGATGAAGGAGGCGGCCTCATCACTCCACCGCCCCCCAACCTCGACTGCAAGCACAACCAGCCGGCATCTGCGCGCCCGCACGAGCTCTGGGTAGGCCCGCTCTTTGCGACGGCGCGCCACGGCGAGGGCAGCACCAGCGAGGGCGAGACAAGGGCTGCGTCCACTGCAAGTTGCTGGCCCCCCCACAGTGGGAGGCCATTGGCCACGACCTCCAGCCGCCTATCGTCGACCCGGTCAACTTGAAGGTTCAAGTCCGCAAGGCGTGTGTTGGAGGCCCTCCAGCAGGCAGAGGCGGCGACATCCAGCGGCCTAAGACGGTGCTGCAAACCGCGCGCTGCACCGCAACGGCCACAATGCCCCACCAGCGCCGACTCCAGCCGGCGCGAGCGACCCGCCGCACCGCGGGTGGAGCCCGCCTGGCGTGCACGCGGGCAAGCTGTCGGACAAAGGCCGTGGCAGCAGGCTGGCCCAGCTCGGGGTACCGCGTGCGCTTCCGCCGCTCAGCTGTGGGCAGCGCGACGCCATCGCGATCCGCCGCGCCGGCGTGTGGCCGGCCATCACTGCGGACAGGGCTGACGAGCTAAAACGGTGTCCTTCGTCTTGCCCCGGATTCGCGGACTTGCTGGCAGGCAGCCAGCCACCCGAGCTTTCTGAGGACCCCGAGCCAGGGGAGAGGCGCCAGCGCTGGCAGCGTCACGCGGCTCTCTACCTTCATTCCTTTTTCCGAGAGCGCGACGTTTTTCCCCGCTCCCCCCAGACATTGCTCTGCTGTGCTTGCAGTCCGGCCTGCAAGCAGGTGCCTGGCTTTCCGCCTCGCCCACCGATCCAGGCGCAGTCCTGACTCCCGAAACCATGCAAATCGCCACCTCGGTGCGGCTTCAGTCGCGCACACAGGCGAAGAAGGTGGGGGCTAAAGAGTCCCCCCCAGCACCCCCTGAGTTCAGCGTCCCAACAATCCCTTTCGGGTTGCGGCTTCGCCTGCGCGTCCCTGAGCTGCTGCGCGGAGCTGCTGTGCTGGCGGGTGCGGCGTGGACTCCCGCTTGTCGGGGAGCAAAACCCACCCGTGGGGCTGCAGGGTGTCTAGCCGACACGTTTTTCCCAGCTGCAGGGCCACAGGATGGAACCTAAAAACGCAGCCCAGCTCCAGGGGGGCAGGCAGCTTGGCGCCGGCTTCCAACCTGGCGTTGGCGAGCAGGTTGCTGACCGGCGGCACCGTCAACAACGCGTCGCTTCCCCTGTAGGGTTGAACGCCAGCCCGGGGTTGCGTGGCATGGACACTAGCGTTCCGTCGCAGCACAGCGCCTCGCCGCGGGCCATGGCCCGGTACTCGACGAAGTCCAAACGCCGCCGGTCGCTCGTCGCGACTCTCGGGGCGGTCGTGTGAGCCGGCCACTGCTGCAGCACGACGCGGCCGTCAGGGCCGACCGCCTCGCGGGCAACGCGCGCCCCGAGCAACGCACACCGACGCACCTTGCCCACGCGCAACGGCAAGAGCTTGGCAAAGGCGGATGCCCAGCAGGTAAGCGGCACGGTAATAACGAGCGCATTGGCACCAGACTGCGCGCGTCACGGCACCACACCATCGGCTGCACCCAGCTCAGTCGGGCCACGGCCCTGGCTGGCAAGCCTCACCAGCAAGGATGCCGCGCCGAGGAACCTAGCCGGCAGGCAGCCGGCTCATGGCTGAGTGGCCCCGCCCGCA